CCGAATCACTTGGGCCAATTGCTCACGATGGGCTAAATTAGGTGTGGAATCAAATAGAAGATACTATTGTAAAAATATGATGGCTAACACTTCCTCTGGACCTCAAATCATTCTGGACTTCAGGGACAAGTTTTGTCTCTACATCAACCCTCAGCCATAATGATTCGGTTGATAAATGCTTGAAAAAGAAATGGCGATTGTTCCCTAGACCTCCATCCAGCATACAGGGGTCAATTGAAGTCGGTCAAGATGGGCATACTATTATTATTAAGATGAAGATAAGGTTTTCGAAGACTGAATTTCGATATCACTGTGACTTGTCAGAAGACTGTTTTATTCGAAACTTGGTGTGTTAATATTTTGTATTAACAAAAGAATAAAGCTCACTTTTATTAATAGCTTGCGAATTATAGTCTGCTAATTTGCAAAATGTTTATGCCAATGATTATTTAACCCTTTATTTAGGGTTTTTACGTATATTTTGACATTTGAGGCTCAAGCATTTCGTTAATTATACAAGCCAGATCAGTATCAGAAGAATACACGGCTCAAGACTGGATTAATTGTAAATGTAACGTAAACAATTTAATTCTTAATCCTAGAGAGTAGTAAGCCTCACTGAAAATTTAATCCCAACTCTGAAAAACTCCGTTTGCTTTCATTGAAAATTTCAATTAAACAAAACACTTGTGAAAATATAAAGTCAAGGACAATACCGTTTTTGTAACTAGTTCCGCTGTTAACATAATCTAAAACACGTAAACAAATAATATACATATATCACCTCTCCTTACCTTTTCAGTTGTTTGTCACCATCGTCATCAGTACACTGATAAACTTCAGTAATGTTGGAAAGCATGGAGGAATCCAGCGTATCAAACAATCACAAGTCCCCCCACCCCACCCAATTTTTGAAGGAGAAAATTTATTATACCTAGTTATCCTTCCTTAACAGTTTTCGAGTTTTTTGTTTCAAGTAATACTCTTCACTGACGTCTACAAATAATTAGAAAATAATACAACAGTATGTTTTGAAATACCATTAACCACTGTCCAGTGAAAGATCTGTCGAGCTCAAGATAGTTGAACATAATGTCACGAGACATTGTAGTTTCGCAGTACACAATATTTCATATAGAATTCTATGAACTATAAAGTTTTCCTTGGATTTGACAACAAACATTTTCATCAACATTCAGCGTTTAGTGTTCATAGTAATAGTGAATATTTTCCACCCCTGCGACCAAAGTTGAACACAATAATAATAATAATAGTATCGTTACATTATTTTTAAACTTCAACATAATGGGCAAATTAACGCTAATAAATATTAGTCCAACCTAATGGTAAACCCATTCCGCAGAAGCAATAATCTGTTGTTCATGATACGTTATCACAGTGAATTGAACATTATCGTCTGCAGCAGCATGCGCTCCAACACTCCCGACATTTAACTCTAACTGCCGTGTTTGTGACGTCTGCTACTAAAGGCACGCGTAGAAGTAGAGAAACATAACTACGCTCACTTTTTTAATAAACGTATCTTAGTAGATGTCGTCTTTTATATGCTGATAAGTCTCCAGAAATTTTTATAGTCTTTATACAGTATAAATAATTATAATTTCTCCTTCAAAAAAATAGTTAGCTAAATAAAATATAGCGCCTTTTCTTAGTTATAAATTATTTAAATAAGGTTGCAGTATTTATGAATAAATAAATAAAGTATACGATATATTTATTTTGCTGTAGAGGTCGCTGTTCAGGATGAATTACTATTTTTTATGTATTTCAATAATTTAAAAATTTGATTGTTAAAATAATGACTAATCATAGAAAAAATAAGCCTTTAGAGGGTGTCCGTCAGGCAGTGGCAGATATTTATGAGAAACTTGATATCAGACAAAGATATCATTTACAGCTATTAACGATAAAAACAAAACAAGCGTTCTTTAACAAATACACTCTTATCAAACAAAATATGATTTTCGTTTACGTTATTCAACAAACGTAGGGGTATTCAATAGTCAGCATCATAATACAACTACACTCTTTAAATACAATCTCCACCATGTAAATGAACATAAAAATCACACACACACCGTACATCTACTATGCTATCTCACTTAATCATGAACTACGATAGTGGTTCATAATAGGGATCGCAAGGGATTCCACAAAACCCCAATAGAACGTTCAGTTCAAACAACATTTTAAAACCTTCACTATTGACTGCTAAGGCTGTACACATATAAAAATTACACACACACACACACACAAACACGCATGTTACGCTCACAAGGAAAAGAAAATCCACTCAAAATGGCCCGTTAGTAATTCTTATTATTCTCTTACAACCTACAACGAAAACTAATTGGTATATTGCACCCAAACCTTTTGTAGAATGCTAAATAAGGTAATGTGAATATAAAAGTCGATTTGTTTTTTTCTATATTTTACATAAGCTAAAAAAACATCATAATTCTAGTGTAACCGATGTTATCATTACCCGTTACAGCTTTCTTACAAATAACTGGTGTTCCTTTAAAAGGCTTAAGTACAGAGTGAAAATGAATTACCAGCCAATAATAGATGAACGTTAGATGACTGTAACATGTAGATACTTAATGCTTTGTACACTATACAATCGGTGACTTTAGGGAGCCAACCCCTATATTATGTATGAAGTGAAGGAGTAAAAAAATCTATACACATAATATTACATTTTATTACACACATTATGTAAAGCAATGTCTTAGACATACATGTTTTACTTGAAAAGTCTGCTTTTCTACTGGTAAAATTTTATATGCGCTTAGTGGGGTGGCGTCTTAGTCTAGGCATATATTTGTCCATTGCTATGCATTGTATATAGAGAATTTAGTTACACAGAAACTATAAATACTCACTATATTTTGAAAGAAATCTCTAGTGCAGCTTAACATTTTTACATCTCGAACTAATGTGATCAAGTATTCAACAGCGACAGTAAATCATCATGAACCCTAGCTACAAGCTATGTTTATTATCAATACAATGTATAAAGTTAGCTACCACATCAAATAATCCTTTGCCCATATTTGAGCATAAAAAAGCCAGCAAATACGATAAACAAAAATTTTTTAGTCATGTTTATCTTCATATTGGAAGCAAGTTGTACAGACACAAAGTACCGAGATCTATTACCGTTGAGGTTTCTGCCATTTTCAAGCTGTTGGGGGAGTATCAGAGGTTGGTACATTAGTAAATACATCTCATCATTATATATTGTGACTGACTTTATAATCTGTGTGTCTGTATGTTTGTCCCTTATCTAATTACTCCCAGGTTGCTGGGCCAATCTCAACCAAACTTTATGGGATGATAGTCTGCAACAAGTGTCATGTTAATGGGGGGTTCACAACCCTCCACCCGTATTATTGCTGTTACTGAGCGTTTATTACCTTTGACGTAAGTTAACGTTAACTACATTCATATATAACGCAACGTTCCTAAACCAAACAAAAAAAACTTTATAAAATTTTCCGTCTCAAGTGGGACACCAGTAAGTCTTCAGATTTACAATGCTAAAATCAGAAGTTCGATTCTCCTCGGTGGACACAGCAGATAGCTGGATGTGGCTTTGCTAGAAGAAAACACACACATATTAAATTTTCTGTAACATAACATATACACAAACGTCTTATATATCTCAAGAGTGCGCGCTAGCACTCTGTATGGAAGAATGCAATAAAAGAAATGGCCTCCACTATTGCAATAATACATAAACTCAAATAAAGTTGATATGACAACAGCCACCATAAGGCTGATGTGAAGAGCAGTTTCTTGAGTTATACCCACTTCGACCAGTGATCTTACAACTTCATCTCCTAAGACACTTCTGCGGCAAATGATCGTTTATTAATTAAGTGAAACAGTGTTGAAGGATATTAAGAGGTGGGTGTTGAAGGCAGGTAACAGAAAGCTCTACTAATTTTGCCGCTACCTCTTCATACAAAGTCACTATGACCATCAAACAGTGTATACCATGTTTTAAGTATATACAATAGTGAGTTCTTAAACCTTATACAAAACTTTTGGTGAGGTAATTATGAATACTGTAATAATATATTATGTTATAAATAAATTGTTTGAAAGTTTGGATTTTTATGTTATCTATCGTAGCATCCACCCTCACATTTTCTTAAGTTTATAACCCGTACTTAGGACGGGTACCTCAGCTTGTAATTCAACAATATCAAAGATTTTCAATCACTTTAACGTACAGCTCAGACTGTTTAGTTGATGGAGATAATTAGAAAATGTCAAAGGCTTTGTAAAACCATAAATATTAATATAGTTAAGGATCTTAAGTTTACCAAAACACCTATAAATACATAAGATATTCAGCATAACGAAGAGTAGTTCAAGGGTTTCTTTTTACAGATATTTAAAAAATCAAGATTTCTTAGCATCATGAAGATGAGTATACAGGGAATTGATAGCACTTTATAAGGTGAAAATGATAATTCGTTGACGTTTCGCTGCAGATGCGAGCCGTAACGCCAAAGGTGACACGTTTAGTATCACACACACAGCAAACGTGTTAGCACTTGCGTATTTGGTTTAAAGCAAATCCTTAACATTCAGTATGCAATTCTCCTACGGGAAGAATTATAGATACAAGGATATTTCACAATTCCTTGGAGAAAGGGATCGTCATATAGAGAGAATGTTAAACGATTCAGAGCCAAAGGACACAACATTTGGAAAAGAGAGCCTCAAATTCTCTCCGTGGAAGCGTAAAAACTCGTACAGTAGAGTATTTAGGACAATAAAAGAGATCCAACGCCATATACCAAGCCTCTGCGGATCACAATTATCTCTCCCCCCCCCCCTACAAAAAACAAATTTAAAAAGTTTTTTTGGTGTACACAACTTGAAGATAGCTTTTATAT